CGCGCGGGGGGGGGGGGGGGGAGGGGACACAGGCAGCAGCTCCCGCAGCTGGGGGGGAGAAGGGTTTGGCGAGCGCTGCAGGGGACTCCCCGCTGCTCTGAGGGCCTGGAGGGGGAGGCCCCTGCCCTTGCTAGCTGGCAGGCCGTCCCTGCGGGCTGGGACCTCTGGGACCTTGAGGCTTCTCTCTGGCCCTAGGCCCATCAACGTGCGTGTGCGGAGGGGCTGCCGGGCAGGCTGAACGGGGCTGGGAAGGAGCCCCTTGGGGTGGGGCGCCGGTTGCTGCAGCGTGGGAGCCAGTGGGCTGGCCTGACCGGCCCCAGGCAGAGCGGGGCTGGCGCTTGCAAGCGGCAACGGGAAGAGTCTGTTTCCGCTGGCTCCTCCCCCACTGGCCCCAGCCAGCCGCTTGGCAGCGCTTTGTGGGGCTGGGCCAGGGACCCAACACCTTGGGTGGCCAGGCCATATGAGAGTGGTGCTGTGAGCCTGTCTGCCAGGAGCTGGGCCCAGATCAAGGGGACAAGAGGTGCCACCAACACCCTCCCCACTGCAATGAGTCCATGACCCACGTGGAACCTCCCCACAGCAGCTGGAGGGTCAGGACCCAGTGTCTGGGAACACTCAGGCACACCTCACACTGGCTGCTTCTCCTCAAACACCGCTAGGAACAGGGAGCGCTCCGGGCTTGCAGACTGGCCCTGGGCATGGCTAGAGGGGAAGGGTAGGGTGCATAGACCCAGGACACTGGACTAAAACTCTGGAGATTTAGGCTGTACTCCCCAGTCTTACTCAGCGGGTCAGTGGCAGAGCTGGGAAGTCACCCCCTGCCTTGTTTCCCTACCTGTAAAGTGGAAGGAAGGATGCTGACCCCTTGGCCAGGTACCTGGAGATGTAGGGTGCTCCACTTCTGTTCCAATCAGGCTTTTGGAAATGCCAAGACCACCAGGAATGACAACAGCAGCCGTTTTGGGAAGTACGTGGAAATCTGCTTCAACCATGAGTATCGCATTGTTGGGGCTGCCATGAAAACCTACCTGCTGGAGAAATCCCGCCTCACTTTTCAGGTGGGTCCTGGTCCGGGAGGGAGCATGCTGGCTGGTGAGGACACCAGGGTGTTGCTGAGTGTGCAGCTGGGTCCAGCTCCGAGCCCTGGTCTTTCAAAATAAACCCCCTTTACATCAAAATAACAAGCAGCACGTCCACACTACCAGGCCCATTACTTCGAAATAACAGGCTGGCTATTTCTAAATCTGTTCCCCTGATTTCCTCGGAATAACGTTTGAAAGAAGCATTATTTCAAAATAGCAGGAGTGTGGATGCACCGCTGCTATTTTCCAATAAGGACTCCCCAGAGTCATTCGAAGTAATTACCCCCCAGTGCTTCCTGGGGCTCTAAGTCGAGGTAGCTCGTCCATGATAACAGAGCTTGCCTCGGACTCATTTTGAGGCTCCCCCCCCCCATTTCGATTTTGTTTCAGGCGTTACTTCACGCTTAGTTACTTGGAAATACTTTGGGCACGTCTACACTAGGAAACTGAGGTTGGCAAAGCCCCTTGACAGTAGGGATGTAAAATCCCACTTAGGGTGTGTCTAGACTACAGAGTTCTGTCGACAAAACTATACCTGCGTCTACACTACCGCTGAGTTCTGCCGACATAACGTCGACAGAACTCAGCAGTTTTGTCGACGCTGGTAAACCTCATTTTACGAGGCATAACGCTTTCTGTCGACAGAAGGTGTTATTGCATGTAAACTGTCCTTTGCGTCTACGCTGCCATGTCGACAAAGCAGCTTGCTTTGTCGACAGAACTGAATGTAGTGTAGATGCTCTTTGTCGACAGTATCTGTCCACAAAACTTCTGTCGACAAAACCCTGTAGTCTAGACGTACCCTTAGTGATTAACCAGCTAAACTTTAGGGTTAACAACTAAGTGGGATCCCGGGGGAGCCGCTTCAGCCCAGTGAGAGCAGCCCCCAGTCTGTGGGGCTGCCGGCTCCTGTTCCTGGGTGCTGGTTAACCCAAGGGTGGGCGAGCACTCCAAGAATTTGGTATGTGGTCGAGGGCTGCACTCTTCCATGATATTAATGGAGCAGGTGTGGGGTCGGGGATGGAGGTGGGTGCAGAAGGGAGCTTGGGGCAGGACTGGGGTGTGGGGCTTGGCTGAAGGAGGTAGCTGTGACCTGGGGCAGGATCCGAGAGGAGGGGGCAGAGGGTTTGGGTTGTGGGGGGAGCAAAGGGTTGAGGGAGGGTCTGGCCAGGAGATTTACTGAGGCAACCCCCAAGCCAGCAGGTTTCTCAGGCAGGCTGCCTGCCTGCCCAGCCATGGCGGGGGCTGTATGGGTCTGAATAGCTAAGAACCTGAGGAAGGGGGGAGGGATACTTTATAGGCTGCTTATTCAAAGTCAGCCCCCTATTGGCCAGTTTCTGGCCAATGGGATTGTTTTGGGGATGGGGACGGCAAGCAAAGCCTCTTCTCCCCCCGTGGCTGTTCAAAGAAACTGCACCGGAGCCACATTTCTGAACCGAGGGGATTAGGGATGAACCTGCTCACATCCCTGTTGATAGACAGCACTGGGGTGGCTGGTACTTCCCCGGCTTGCTGGGACTGCAGCCTTGCCAGGCTCTGGCTCTCCGCATGCTGCAGAACTGGGCTCTGGAAGGGCTTGAGGGGCGGGTACTTCAGCCTTCCCCACTCACGCTCCCTTAGAGCCACATTTCTGAACCGAGGGGATTAGGGATGAACCTGCTCACATCCCTGTTGATAGACAGCACTGGGGTGGCTGGTACTTCCCCGGCTTGCTGGGACTGCAGCCTTGCCAGGCTCTGGCTCTCCGCATGCTGCAGAACTGGGCTCTGGAAGGGCTTGAGGGGCGGGTACTTCAGCCTTCCCCACTCACGCTCCCTTAACCCAGTGCAGCTGGGGTGGTGGTGTCGGGGTTCCCCTCGACGCTGCACCCCCGTAGCAGCAAGAACAGACTCTGCCAGCCAGTAGAACGGGGGTTTATTGCTTCTCCAGGCCACAGCATGGACATGATGTGTCCACGGGAGGCTGGGCCAGGATGCCTCTGACCCCTTGATGGGGTCCCTGGGCCCCTAGATTCCAGCCCCTCCATAGTCTGTTTCATGGTTCCAGCCCCAAGACTGCCCCTCTCCCCGCACGCTCACTTCCTTTTCCATCCCTTCCCTTAACCAGTGGACCTGGTTTGATCATTGTCAGGGGGGCCCTCAGGTGCCCCTTCTGGGCAGTGCTTACAGACAGAGGCCAGTAGGGGTCACCCACAGCCCCATCCTAGCAACCAGCAAGGTACTGACACTACATCACACCTGGTCACTGCCTGCAGCTTTGTACCAGTCCTTCAGTGCAAACTCCACAAACAGCAGAAATCTCTAGTCACTGTGTGGTGGGGAGGGCGGTAGGAGACTGCAATAAAATGGCAAGTGAATTTTAATGTTGATAAATGCCAAGTAATGCACATTGGAAAGCACACAATCCCAACTAGGCATACAAATCGATGGACTAAATTTGCCATAACCACTCGATCTTGGAGTCCTTGTGGCTAGTTCTCTGAAAACATCCACTCCATGTGCAGCAGTCAAAGCAAACTGTTAGGAATCCTTAAAGGGAATAGAGAATAAGACTGACTATCTTATTGCTGCTATATAAATCCATGGTAAACCCACCTCTTGAATTCTGTGTACAGATGTGGCTTCCTCATGTCAAAGATATAGTGGCATTGGAAAAGGTTCAGAGAAGGGCAACAAAAATTGAGGGGTTTGGAATGGGTGTTCTCTGAAGAGAGGAGACAGTCTGGGACTCTTCAGCTTAGAAAAGAGGAGACTAAGCGGGATATGATAGAGATCTATAAAATCATGACTGGTGTGGAGAAAGTGAAGAGGGGAAAGTTATTTACTTGTTCCCATAACATAAGAACTAGGGGTCACCAAATGAAATTGATAGGTAGCTGGCTTAAAACAAACACAAGGAAGTACAACTTCACACAATCTGTGGAACTCCTTGCCAGAGGATGTTAAAGTCCTGGTCTTCACAAGGTTCAAAACAGAACTAGACAAATTCATGGAGGTTAGGTCCATGAATAGCTCTTAGCCAGGATGGGCAAGGATGGTGTCCTTACCCATTCCCAGCTTCTGATGGAGGCTGACTGGGTGGGATCACTTGATTCCCTGTTCTGTTCACTCCCTTGGGGGGCACCTGGCTTTGGCCACTTGGTCTGACCCAGTGTGGCCGTTCTTATGAAGTGCTCCCATCTTGTAACAGGCTCAGGGACTGCCCCAATCCCCTGTCCAGGACTGGGGATGCATGGATGGCAGTCAGTGTTGAAACCTGATGGACACCAACGGAGGAACTAATAGGGGAAGTGGAGGTGGGTGACAACCTGGGAAGAAGTGATCATGAGATGATAGATTTCAGGATCCTGACTAAAGGAAGAAGAGTAGTGAATTACACACCTTGGACTTCAGAAAAGCAGACTTCAACTCCCTCCGAGACCTGATGGGCAGCATCCCCTGGGATGCTAACATGAAGGGGAAAGGAGCCCAGGAGAGCTGGCAGTATTTTAAAGAAGCCTTAGTGAAGGCACAGAGAAACCATTCCAGTGCATAGCAAGAGAAGCAAATATGGTAGGAGACCGGATTGGCTTACCAGGGACATCCATGGGGAACTTGAGCACAAAAAGGAGCTTACAGAAAGTGGAAACTTGGACAGATGACTAGGGAGGGGTTTAAATGTCTAGCTCGAGAATGCCGGGGGGTTATCGGGAAGGCAAAAGCGCAATTGGAATTGCGACTCAAGGGATGTGTAGGATAACGAGAGGTTTCTACAGGCACGTTAGCAAGGAAAAGGTGATCAGAGAGGGGGTGCGGCCCCTACTCGATGAGGGCAGTAACCTGGTGACAGATGATGTGGGGAAAGCTGGAGTACTCAATGCTTTCTTTGCCTCTGTCTTCACGGACAAGGTCAGTTCCCAGACTAATGCGCTAAGTGATGCAATGTGGGACAAAGGTGGACAGCCCTTGGTGGGGAAAACAGGTTAGGAACGATTTAAAGCGAAAGGTACAGAAATTCATGGGTCTGGACTTAATGCATCCGAGGGTACTGAGGGAGTTGGCAAATGTCATTGAGGAGCCTTTGGCCATTATCTCTGAACAATCATGGAGATTGGGAGAGAGCCCGGGTGATTGGAAAAAGGCAAATGTAGTGCCCATCTTCAAAAAAGGGAAGAAGGACGATCCAGGGAACTATAGGCCGGTCAATCTTACCTCAGTCCCTGGAAAAATCACGGCGGGGATCCTCAAGGAATCCATTTTGAAGCACTTGGAAGAGGGGAAGGTGATCCGGAATAGTCAGGATGGATTCACAAAGGGCAAGTCGTGCCTGACCAATCTGACCAAAGCTTTGCTAAAGTCAAGGTCTATCGCATCCACTGACTTTCCCATATCCACAGAGCCAGTTACCTCATAACTTCTATGATGAGGTAACTGGCTCTGTGGACGTGGGAAAGTCAGTGGATGTGATAGACCTTGACTTTAGCAAGGCTTTTGATACGGTCTCCCACAATATTCTTGCCAGAAAGTTAAGGGAGTGTGGATTGGATACATGGACTGTAAGATGGATAGAAAGCTGGCTAGGAGATTGGGCCCAGCAGGTAGCGATGTCAGGTTGGTGGTGGGTTTCTAGCAGAGTGCCCCAAGGTTCAGTTCTGGGATCAGTTTTGTTCAACATCTTTATTAATGACATGAATGAGGGGATGGATTTTGCCCTCAGCAAGTTTGCAAGCAAGCTAGGGGGAGAGGTAGATATGCTGGCAGGCAGGGATAGAGTCCAGAGTGACTTAGAAAAATTGGAGGATTGGGCCACAAGAAGTCTGAGGTTCAACAAGGACAAGTGCAGGACTCTGCACTTGGGACGGAAGAATCCCAAGCATTGGTACAGGGTGGGGACCGACTGGCTAAGTAGCAGTTCTGCAGAGAAGGACCTGGGGGTTACGGTGGATGAGAAGCTGGATATGAGTCAACAGTGTGCCCTTGTAGCCAAGAAGGCTAATGGCATAATAGGGTGCATTAAGAAGAGCACTGCTGGTAGATGTAGAGATGTGATTATTCCCCTTTATTCGGCTCTGGTGAGGCCACGTCTTTAGTATTGTGTCCAGTTCTGGGCCCCCAATTACAGGAAGGATGTGGACACACTGGAGAGGATCCAGCGGAGGGTGACCAAAAATGATTAGGGAGCTGGAGAACATGACCTACAAGGAGAGGCTGAGGGAGCTGGGTCTATTTAGTCTGCAGATGAGAAGAGTGAGGGGGGATTTGAGAGCAGCCTTCAACTTCCTGAAGGGAGGTTCCAAAAAGGATGGAGAGAGGCTGTTCTCAGTAGTGACAGATGGCAGAACAAGGAGCGATGGTCTCAAGTTGCAGTGGGGGAGGTCCAGGTTGGAAAAACTATTTCCCTAGGAGGGTGGTGAAGCACTGGAAGGGGTTACCTAGGGAGTAGTGGAGTCTCCATCCCTAGAGGTGTTTAAGTCTCGATTTGACAAAGCCCTGGCTGGGTTGATTTAGTTGGAATTGGTCCTGCCTTGGGCAGCGGGCTGGACTTGATGACCACCTAAGGTCTCTTCTGATTCTGATACTTCCCCTAGGGCCCTTTCTTGTGTGTATAGGATTGAGCCTGGATTCCTGTTGCTGATGGAGACTCAAGGCTCCATGGAAGTCTTATTCTGCCTCCATACCCTTCCCTTTTTCCTCCCCCTCCCCAGCCTGATCTGTGCAGCCCCAGCTTGACTCGGGCGTCAGGAAACTTCCTGAACAAAAATGTGTTTGTGTTCAAAGGGCCTTTTTGACAATCGGGTGCACAAGACCTTGCAATTCCTCCCTCTGTCCCTCATGCCCCTGAGCGCAGCAGGTCATGGGGTGTGGGGATCCTTTCAACATTTTGTTTGGATGCTGTTGTGAAAAGAAAATGGGGAGGGTGAGAGGAACCCAATACTCCTCCCCTCCCCCCCATCACTGATTGTCACATTGTGTGGCAAAGCTGGTAAAGGGAAGGCCTGCAAGATACTTCAGTAAATGCACATGGAAAAATCAAGACCTTCCACCCTGTCAGTCATTCAAAGTCAGCCAGCCACAAGGACCTGGATGTGACTTTTTTTTCTATAACCAATTCATCCAGAGATTGTGAGTTAAAACACCAGGGTGGGCTCAAACGTGCCCCTTGGTAGACTTCCCCCTGATGGCAAAGTTTAAGTGGCTGAGCCGATCCAGGCCACCTCAGACAATCATGGGGAAAGGAGTTCCACAGATCCCTCACTTGCACCATAGGGCTCTGTTGGATGACTGAGGTAGGAGTCTAATCTGAGGCTCCCATTTTGGGTCAAAATTGCTGTTACCTTCCCCTTCCCCCTCCCCTTCATCCAGGGAACAAATCAATAAGAACAAGACCTGGTTCTCTTCCACCCTCCTACTTCCCCCAATCTTTCTCCAAGCAGGAAACATTTTGCCTGCAGGTAGGAAAAGGGCACCTTTCCCCCCCCCAAGATTTCCCTTTGGCAATGGGCTCCTTTAAAACCCCTTTCCGCCTTTTAAAGGGAAAACCCACCGTATTGTGAATAAGCCAATGAAACCCTCTCTTCTAGAAACAGGGACCAGAAATGCCCAGGGGAAGCCGGAGAAGTGCTGCTCTCTCCTGGCTTGAGTCGGGGGGGGGGGGGGGGGGGGCGTGGTGGCGGGGCGTGAGAAG